CCTTTAAATAAAAAGGCTGGCTCCATAAACCTGTCTGAAATACTGAAATCTCTTCCTGCCAAAAAACTCACATTTAGGATTTTTTTCCTGTTCCAAACTGGAACAAGTGATTGTGAAAAGGATGGGTTTGGGGGGATACTTTGTGGGAGGGCAGGGTGGGGGTAAGCACAGGGAAGTAGTTACCAGAAAAATTCTGGTTCAAGAGAACCAGAGTAGATTTTCTGGCTCAATCTTTGCCTGCCTAGGTAGCGAAAGAGCAAACCATCCGGCAAAGCCAACTAACTGTTTTGTTTTGATCTGCTTAGTTTTTCCTGAGAAGCCTGGAGAACAAGCTGTGAGGCTAGGAGGCTCTCCAAGCACGTGGACAAGGCACTCCGGAGCTGGCGATGCCCTGCCACGCTGGTTGGCAAGCAGGAGGTTGAACACAGTGAGCCAAAAACGCCCCAGAGAGAACTCCTGTCAGCACACACCTTATCGTAGGGGGCTTCTCTGAGGGCCGCTCTACTATCAGCCCCTTCTACCTCATGGGATTGGACCTTGCGAGGCGTCTCAGCAGTCTCTCTGCTCGGTGAAACGGCCAGCGTAGGCCACGGCGAGGAGCCCCGCGGCTCTGCCGGGGCCTTTCTCCCTTTCCTTTGGCCGCAAGGGGAGCGTATACAATTCCTTCTTGCCACTCTTCAAACTTCTCAGTTTAAAAAAAAAAAACTGATGAAACATAGACATCTCTAGTTGACAGAGGAAGTCGAGCTGAATCTTCAAAGAAAAACAAAACTGACTTAGGACGCCTCTAACAATAGCACTTCCACATTTTTGTATGAAAAAACTTTTTCCATGATGCTCCAAGACAAAGAATGGTATTGCTGAAAATGACAACTTCTGGAAAAGCAGAAGTTTCTTATGGCAAAAAGTGAAATGAATTTTGTATGCCTTGCTGAGTGCTCCTCACAACGGTAGGGGTAACTTTAAACTGTATGGTGTATTTTTGTTTTGTTCCTATTTGGCCTGACAACAAAACTAAAGGTAATTTCCATCTTCCAGCCAACTTCTGCTCTCAGTTGTACCATTATATGCTGAAAACAGTTGCATAGTTTGTATTATTTCCTGTGTGAGGCTAACATGTTCTTAGCCTGTTGATTCAATTACATCAAGTATTTATCTCCCTTGTACATGTCTTAACTGAAAGTCCATGCACAGTAATGCGTTCTTATCGACAGAGTAGAAAGAGCAGAAAGGGGAGAGTTAATGTACAAAAGAGGAAAAATACAGGTTTTGTACCCAGGAGTTTTGTACTGTACGTAAAACAAGAAGGAAGAAGTCCAAGCGCCTTAGGTTCCTGCAAGGCACTCCTTCTGGTCACTGGCCTGACAGAGGGCTTCCCAGAAGCTACAACAGCAGTGTTAGACATCAAACCACACGCTCATTCTCGACCAGCCGTTTGGGAGGTCTGCTGCTTTGTTAGGCTGGAGCTTTTGTCCGTAATTATGAGCAGAAGTAAACTATTGTATAGATTAGCTATGCAGTGCAACACATGGGTCAAACATGCTGTGCAAAGCTGGATTTACTCTGTGAATGATAACACATCTCTGAACTACCCTGTGGAAATCCACCGTGAGCTGGCTGAATGCCTTCTGCATCTGAAATGAGAGGCCCCACTCACAAAGGTTGGCTCAGAAAACGCTCACGACTGGAGACTGGGACAGTTAGAAGCAAGGTCTCTGATGTAGGCGTCCCCTGCACCGAGAGCACAGTGCTATGGTACTGCGTGCCAGGCAGCCTACAGCCAGCGTGAACAGCAGTAGTGTAACACCCGACTGTGTCTGCTTCCATGGTGAAAAGAGAAGAGGAGCTGGCATCATGCGACTTCAGATTCCTCAGCGGGCAGGAGGTGATGACCACAGCTGAGGACACGGTTCTTCGAAAGATGCAGAAAAGAGTGCAACGGCAGAGGGAGGAAAAACAACAGCTGAGGTAAGTGGAGCCATTGCCACCTCTCAAGCAATGAGCTTATGACGACGAGATGTGACCAGGATGACTAACTGCGGAGTCAGTGGGCCCTCAGAATTTGAGGACACTGCAGTCCACCTCGGCCTTCCCAAGGCTCCTCAGATGCCAGCAGGGTGCTGAGATCTTGGTAACAGGGACTACATCTTCCAGTGTAGCTTTGTGCAAATGCATGGTGGCTGTCCACTTGACAATAGACTTATCTTTTTCTGACTGCTCGAATGCCTGCTGTCCAGATTTATTGCTTTGGCAGCAGCACCCTCAGAGAACATGACTCCAGCCTCAGTGGGCGAGAAATCCAAGACAGACAAATAATTTTGTTTTGTGTGTCAAGGCATTAATCAAAAGCTAACCTTGCAGCATTAAGAGGCAATTGTGAACAAACTACTCTGTAGTTATTCACAAAAGCATTTTTCCACTTTCTCAAGAAATGCCTAGCACAAAATCAGAGGGAAGACTTTGAATTTTTTGCGCTGACCCCATATAACCGTTCCTCTGACTCCTCCCAGAGTGCAATACTGCACTGTGAGTGAGCTGGGCAAAGTTCCAAGGTACAGAGAGATGCAGAGCTGGAAACAGCTGGAGTTCATAGGAGGATTTTCAAACTCAGCTACTCAACTGCCTATCCGACTCGTGTGCCTGCACACTCAGCAGCAGTGGTGTCAAGGACAGTGAGCACAGGCAAATGGAGTCTGTTCAGACTTTAGAAACAGTTTAACACCTCTTACACGCAATTTGGGACAAAAAACAGATGGGTGTCATGTCCGCTTTTTTAAATTTAGCACTTAACCTTTATCAGACATTGGTCTCAAAATACCTTTGAAGACTGGCTCTCTGCAAGTGTGGCTCAGCATCGGATGGTGAGCAGGAGGGAGAGCAATGCTCTGCAGCACTTCCTTGGTCTCCAGACATTGACTGCCCTTCCAGAGGGATGTGAAGAGCAGAATAACAGAGAGTGAAGAAGGAGCGGGTATGCACATGTCCAAAGGGCTCCCAGGTAAAGCTGAGCAGAGACCTTCGCTCTGAGAGACTATCTGGGTACAACAGCCCAGCAGAGAAGTGGCCCCATCCAGAAGCTCTGATGGGCATGCAAGACAGGGAGCTCTAAGGAAACAGGATTTTGTTTCCAGACATGTTTTGCTCTGGGTTTTGTACATTTTTGCTGCTTGCGTGTGAAACAGCACAGCAGGAAAACAAAAACCCTGCAGAGAGAGTGATTTACATTCAAACTGCAGCTGACACTGAAGCGTCCTTCTTCCTATTTTGTCCTGACCTTGTTACAGCCCAGGGATAGGAGCAAGCTACTAAATGCTCGAGTAAGCGACGAGGGAGAGATGAGGGAGGCCTTTGTGAAATGACTCAGGTGCCAGCAGCAGGAGCAGAGCCAAAGAACAGCCCTGCAGCCCAGCTCCGGGTGGGCGAGTGGGCCTCCTGCACACAGGCTCCAGCAGTGGATGAAGATGGTGGTTAGCACAGTCATCCAGCGGCACAGAGGGCCCTCACTTTCAGGAGGAGTCCTAACTCTAGCCCTGTCTGAAACAGGACACGATGATGGTCAGGACATCCATCTATTCCACGCGTTGCTTAAGTGTCATCTGCGCTGCCAGGTGCAACCAAAGATGACCATGTCCTCCGTAGGGAAGTTGTTCTGCATGCCTGAAGATGGCAGCATGGTGTAGTCAGAGCACCACAGGCACAACTTCCAGCAAGGCCTGCGCCTCCCCTGATAAATGAATCATGCCAGGGCCATTTGCTGTCACAGGCAGCCAGCTGGTACCAAATGCCACACCTCCCTGTCTTCCAAAACAGGGTGGCCACATGCAGACTGATAGCTGCTCCCTGGCCTGTGCTGACCGAGCCAAGCTCTAGCTGGCCCAAGGCACCTACCAGCGCAGACGGGATTAAAAGCCAGCAGCCGCAATGCTCCCTGGCACTGCTTGCTGGTGTTGGCATAATCTTTCCGTCCTCCTACAGAAGCGTATCTTGTCCCGGTGTGGCAAGCAGATTCTGCTTTTGCTAATCAAAAAGAAAATGTTACTAGCACAACCTTGGCCTGAGTCGTAGACTTGCTTTGTTGTGATTGTGCTTCCAAGGAAATTAGTGGCAGATTTCCCACTGGCTTCAGTCAAAAATGTAGTGCTTCAGGTAAGCTTTCATCTGGGGTAATGTTAATCTGGACTTTGAACCACTGGTTGGAGCCTTTATTAATTTTTCTGCACCCGTATTTTAGCCTAATTTCATAAAGAAGTGAGATTATTTGAGCATGCTGCCCTTGGATGTTTATCTGACTGTGTGTCTTTTTCTGAGTCTCAGTAACTTTTGACACTGTCAGCCAATTTCAACCATCAAGTTGGGATTAAGTTCCTACCTGTAAACGGGGAGATAGGTAACCAGCAGCAACCCTGAGGAAAGGGTGCTGTTCTTATTGCGCACCTGAGCATCAACAAATGATAAGAGATACATAAGCACCCAGCATGGGAAACGCTTCCACCCAAGCTAGCAGATTTTTAGATATCAACCAATCTCAAGACAAAATTCTGTAGGAAACACAGCTTTTTCCGTTTTTCATTCTCATACTTGTTAATATCGGTATTGCTCAGCTTTTTAAGTTTCTGCAGTGCTGAAATGCTAGGACAAAGAATCATATACATGGTCAAGTGTTTAGAAAGTTGGTAAAAAATACCATTGCAGACAACCTAAAAACTAGCATCAGCTTTGATAATCCTGAGATACTTAGGTTAAAAACCAACGCACCCTCCACCTTGTCGTAGGTAGAGGTTTAATAATTAGCAGTTGTCACTGACCATATTGTTTTAAAAACCTCTCAGTTTCTGAATTCTTAGTTATTTAAGATCTCAACATTGCTTTGAGGGTAAATCTTTAATATCTACCTCTGGATGACGTAGTCATAAGAGGATACGATCCCTTTGTTTCCCGAAAACAGGAGAAGAGTTAGTTTCACTGCTTCTTTTCATAACTTCAAACAGAATCATCCAGAGTGGAAGTCTAGTAATTGTGTTGATTTTCACTAAAAATTTGCTTCAATCGCTGGTTGCGTTTCTTTGAAGCAGCTGCTGGGGAACTGTGTGAGGTCTGCACAAACAAATGGATGAAGAACATTACCCACCCGCTTCAGATGAGAATTATTCATACGGATACTCTTTTAATGAAAGCAATGTCTGTGAAATGGGTAACTATTTTGTATTTTACACCCATCTGACTACTGTCCTCTACACTCTGGCATTTTTACTCAGCCTGCTAGGAAACACTCTAGTGCTATGGATCCTATTCAAATATGAAAACCTTGCATCTTTAACAAGTATCTTCATCATAAATCTTTGTGTCTCTGATTTAGTCTTCTCGTGCATGCTGCCTTTCTGGGCAGTGGAGCAGTCCTTCGGGTGGATTTTTGGTGAGTTCCTCTGCAAAGCGGTAAATGCTGTTTTCTCTACTGGCTACTATAGCGGTGTTTTCTTTTTGACTCTCATGACTATTCTGCGGTACTTGTCCGTAGTGAATCCCCTTTCAACTCTGAGATCCCAGACACAGTGCTGTGGTTTTCTGGTGAGCTTGGCCATTTGGACTTGCAGCATATTAATTGTGGTTCCTGAGGTGATTCACACCACTGTGCAAGAAAGCTTGGACGGCATCAAGACCTGTGATTACGCTGACTGGAAATGGAAGAAGATGGACATTTATCTGAGAAATATCCTTTTCCTGTTTTCCTTTGCAATTATTGTGTTCTGTTATGTCAAGATATTGATCATTCTGCTTGGAGCCAAATCTCGCAGAAAGCACAGGACTGTGAAACTCATTCTGATTATTGTAGTGGTTTTTTTCCTGAGCTGGGCACCTTACAACATCCTCAGTTTTTTGATTACTTTTCCACCACCTACCTGTCAGTATGAAAAGGATGTCAACCTTGCCTTTCACATCAGCCGTAAAATTGCTTTCTCCCACTGCTGCCTCAACCCTGTGCTCTATGTATTTGTTGGAGTCAAGTTCAAGAGGCATTTGTTACATTTACGCAATCAATGTTTACCATGTGGCATCGGTCGAGCCTCCAGCCCCAGCATCTGTTCGCAAGGTAAATTCCACTATGAAGACGCATCCAGCCACGGAAGCAAGGTCTAACTATTAGTGCTCCTCCTGGATGAACTTTCAGATTTTAAAAGCCATGGATAATCTCTAATTTTTAGAGACTCTTCCCTGAGCAACAGATAAACAAGCTTACTCTTTGCAAACATGTTGAGTATGGAAAATAATAAAAAAACGTATTTGCAGCAGGATGGAGTAGCTGAGAAGCTACTTCATTCATCTGTAAGTCACTTTGTGCTTTTTGTATTCCGTGAGATGGATTTGCTCTCATTGATTTTTCTTTTTAAAAACAAAACAAATTTTATTTTTAAACAATTTTTAGCTTTAGGTGCTAAAACATCAGGCTTTACCATAAATGGTACTGCATGTTGCTTTCTTGTCTGACTTAAAATACTTGGGTTATATATAGCAATGGATACATATGTATTTCTTTAGCTTTTAGTGCTTTACAGTGGTGAATATCAGAGCCGAACTCATCAGTTCCCTCTTTTTGGAGCTCTGAAGACTTACTGGTCTGACAATAGCTACAAGATCTCAGAATCTTTGAAGTCCTCAATATAAATGTTCTTTTAACTGTTAGTGGGTAAATGTATATACTAGCTTAATATAAAGGCAGTTTTCTGGCTCTGAAATGGGATGTTTGGGAGAGCCATGAAAGGAACACAAGTTGTAACGAGATACTTTGGTTGCTGGGTTATTCTTTTTTCTCCTGTCACTGCTCCTGCCCCAGGCACCTTCCATTCTCTGAATAATGTCCCTTCAGGCTGTTGCAGTGGATCTGCAGCCACTCTTCTGCGCAAGGCAGGAGCATATTTACCCCTATTCGCTGTCTCCCTCCCTCTCTCCCTGTGCCATAGCTCTGAGAAGAATTAAGCTTTATAAAAAGGTTACAGTGCAGAACAAGCGGCTTATTTCAATACCCGCATGGAAATAGTTGCTTTGTTTGTAAAATTAATGTTTGGCCTGTTTTATTAGGAAGCCAGAACAGCAGATTTTAGCCCATATATTTGCGTGCTTGCTCCTTCACCACTCTTCTTTTAATGGCTTCACAAGGATGTTGAAATCTCTGCTTAAAACCTGGTCATCAAAGCCAGACATGTGTTTGTTTTTGACCTGCCTCATGTCTAAATACCAGATATGCTCATACCTGGCCTAGCCAGCTTTCTGGGCAGATGCAGTTCTTTCATGTCATGGATGCATTTTATCTGCATAGGCAAGTGGGAAGTAAAGTGCAAATATTTGCACGAATTTGATTTTGAAAACGTTGCTAAGAGGCTTTGTTGTGATAAGTGCAGGAGTATTTTTAAATGATTGCTAAAATATGATTTCACAACTAAAAGCAAGCTGAGGGAATCCAGTTCAACATCATACATTATTGCAACAAATCCAAAGACATGGTGATTGCAGCAGTCAAAAGCAACATTTTTTTCTCTGCAGGAACTGATATTCTTCATGATAGCTCATGAAAGTAAAAAACATGTACTGCCCACTCCTGTGTAACTAAATTAGAAAGCCTCTGGAAACTGTAATATTTCATTGCCTTGTGTTTGTATAGAAAGCCGAGGCAGCTTTGCAATGGCACCAAACTTTATTTTTGTGCTAGGTAGCAATTTGGTTTTTGTAGACAACCATCTTGGATGGTCTCTGTGTTTTTTCTATACTATTTCATTTGATCTCCAAAGATCACCTGCAGCAAATAACAGATTCTTCTGAGCTGCTATGCAGATTGTAAGAAAACGGAAACTCAGTAATGCCCATACTGAAGCAGACTAAGGGTCCGTCTAATCCAAAACCCTAGTTTCTGATAGAGCTTGCCAGTAGTTTCTAGTTGTGCTTCAGCTCAGCTGCCAGAACAAAATGCTTATATCTTGTCCCTTATCATTAGAGGCACCTTTCCAAACGAGTCAGTTCTGGTATTATAATACTACAATTATTGCCTATAGCTTATTAAAAAAAAAAAAGTTACTCATTAATCACATAAGGAATGGACTTGTGTTCAGACAAACCATGGAACGATGGAACTTGTCACCAGTCTGATTTGTGGTGAAGTCCAGCCTCTGGCTCTTGTCTCTTGGTAAGAGGTAACAGACATGCAAAATGAATGTGATTCCTTCCATATAGTTCAAGAGACTTTAGACTGGGGACTCAATACCTTCAGCTATGAAGAGGCAAGCTACTAAAGGATATGAATCCCAGTTCTTTGGATGTTTTGGTAAATCAGGAGCACTTCACTGATGCCGGCAATGCTCTAGAAGAGAAAAATGCCAGGAAGATGGCCAAAATAAAGTCTCATGCATCCATATCATTTCAACAAACTGTCATTCAACTCACTGTTCTAGATCAACATTACTCTCTAATTTGTACTGTCAATACATTTCACATTTATCTAAAAGAGTCAAGCAGTATAGCAGAGGCACAAGAGATTTAAATGATCCTGCTCTGCTCAGTTGTTAGCAAGTTATTTAAAACTGTTTGTAGCTTGAGCGTATTTCGTTAGAGTATATCTGAGCGTGTAAAGGGAATGCTGAAAGGAATTGCTGAACATTACCCAATTGTATTGCTGCCTACTCTAACCAAAGTAATTCAGCATATGGAGATTTCCCTTCCTGGTATGATGAAGCAGTACTAATAAACATTCAGAAATTCAATGGAATACTACGCTGTGACTACTGCTCTCTGTCTTTGATAACGACCTATTAAAGCTGAGGTATTTTCAATTGAACAAGTAATTGTAAACTTTCATAGACTCATTTAGATGAGAAGGGACTTCTGGAGGCCATCTTCTCCAACACCCTGCTTAAAGGAGGTCTAACTTCCCAGGCTGATCAGATTGCTCAGGGCCTTCTCTGGTCAAGTTCTGAAAACCGCCAAAAATTGAGATTGCACAGCTTTTCTGGGTCCCTGTTCCAGTGCTTAAACTCTCAGAGTAAATGTTTTCCCTTCTACCCGAACAAAATGTCCCTTGCTGCAACCTGTGGCTGCTGTCCTTTGTTCTTTAAATGCACATCTCTGAGAAGAGTCTGGATCTGTTTTCTCTATACCTCCCCATTACATGATGGAAAAGAGCAGTAAGATCTCCCCTGAGCCTTCTTTTTTCCAGACTCAACAAACCCAGACAACCCAGTCTCCTCATACGTCACACACTCTGGCTCCCTAACCATCTTGGTGGCCCTCCACTAGGCTCGCTCTAGTCTGTCCATGCCTCTCTTGTACTGGGGGCCCAAAACTGGATACACTACTCCAGATGTGACCTCATGAATGCTGAGTAGAGGAAAATAATCATTTCTCTCAACCTGCTGGAAACGCTCTTTCTAATGCAGCCCCATATGCAGTTAGTTTCCACTGCTGCAAGGGCACACGACTGAGTTGTGTTCAGCTTGCTGCCCACCTGAACCCCCCAGACTTTTTCTGGCAGTGCTGATCTCTAGACAGCTAACAGCCTGCACTGTTGCAGGATTTTGGCCATCCCAGGTGCAGGACTTTGCATTTGCCATTGCTGAACTTCATGAGTTCCTGTCAGCTCATTCCTCCAGCTTACTGGGGTCTCCCTGGATGGCAGCCTTGCCCCTCCATGTATCGACTCCTCCATCTTACTTGGCGTCATCCATGAACTTGCTGAGAGTGCACTCTGTGCCATCATCCAGGTTGATAATGAAGATGTTAAACAGGACTGGCCTCTGTACTGGTCCCTGAGGAATACCACTGATAACTAGCTGCTCATTAAGACTTCAAATCAGTGACCACTACCCTTGAGCCTGATGGTACAGTCAGTTTTTCATCCACTTTGTAGTCCACCTGTTCAGTCCATATCTCCCCAATCCAGCTATGAGCCTTGGTCAAAAGCCTTGCAAAAACCAAGGTAAATGACGTGCACTGCCCTCCCCTCACCGCCAGAGCCAGTCAGCTGATTGTAGAAGACCGTTAGGCTGGTCAGGTACCATTTTCTCTTGGTAAATCCGTACAACCCTTTTTGCCCTGCATCCCTCTGGTAACAGCTTCCAGGAGAACTCTCTCCACAATCTTCCAGGCAACTGGGATGAGGCTGACTGGCCTGTAGTTCCCTGGATCATCCTTCTCGCCTTTTTTGAAAATGAGCACGACATTTGCCTTTTTCTAGTCATCAGGGACCTCCCCTAACCTCCATGGCATTTCAAAGGCAATAGACAGCACTTTGCAATGACATTGTCGAGGTCCCTCAGCACCATCACGTGCACCCTGCCCAGTCCCACAAACTTCTGCAAGCCCAGACTAAGTAGACCCAAAGCAATCCTCCTCTGCCATGGGTAGTACCTCTCTCCCCAAACTCTGCTAGTAGGCACAGAGACCTAAAAGGCACTTTGAGCTATATCTACTGTCAGGAGAAAATATTTTGGCATAGCTTCCGTCTTTGTTTATACACACAAATCATTAGATATGCACAGAGCCAAAGCCACAAGATTTGCCCAGTGCAGGTCTGTGGACAGGCAGTCTGTGCAGCTCAGCAGTTTCCTCACAAAACAACCAGCTGTGCTGAAAAACTCTTTCCTTCTGGTAGCTCCAGGTGCATGGAAAATACAGGCTTGCTATGCTTAAACCATAATGCTCAGGGGACCTTGAATCTTTAATTTCACTCATTCAGTCAACTATTATGTGGTCTGAACAAATGCAGAACTGAGACAAAGAACTCTCTGAAGTGAAAAAGGAGAAATTAATTGCTTTTGGAAACCACAGTCTATTGGGGGTAGGGGAGCAGCTGAGTAGTCACAACATTACAACTGCTGTAGAGCATCAGAAGTGCCTTTACGCCAAAGGCATGCAGGATGGCACCTGTAACCTTCACTGCAAGTTACAGTTACACGGACGTGCTATTGTTGTTCTGATTACGTTCTTATTAAGCGCCGCTCAGGGGGAATGGGAGAAAAAACAGCTTCTCCTGGAAGCACTTAGCAGGACTGGGTCTGTCTCCCTGCCTGTCTCCTTACCGCAGATTAACACAAAGCAGAGCATTGCTGCTGTAAGCTGTCAGAGCTCCCGACTTCCAGGCAGCCATGGGAGTTATATCAGTCCATGATCGGACAGTAGGGAAAATCCTCACTGGCAAGAGGTGAAGCACCTAATCTTTTCCATTGCTAGTGTACATTGTCTTGAGTAAAACAAGAAAACTTAAAATCCACATATTTAAGAAAGCACCCTGTTCTCAGTGAAATCAATGATCATTTTGCTTCTGATCATAATCGGAGCAATACTCAGATTCTAGAGTCAATGCAAGGTATTGGACAAACCATAGCATGCACTGCTTATCGCCAGGAGCGTTTTCATCATGAAACACAATTCCTCTGTCTATAACTCAGTACCCTGAAAACACCAACAGTGTTATTAAAATTATAAACATAACTCTTATTTCGTTTTCCCTTATGGTTACTCAGCAGATCAAAGTGCTCTTACTCTTTAGTATTGAAATTGGAAGGGCCCGTGTTAAATGGAGAGAGGTTCGACTGATGTTTGCTGTACTATTTTCACAGCTGCTGAGCACTAGTGTAATTGCATAGAAGCCCCGAAAAAGCCCACATGTTCTTCAGGAAGCAAAACTAAAGTGAGTACAAAAATGAGAAAGGAAAATATTCTGTTAGTTACCTGTCAGTCAAAATGAGAAGAGACAGTGAGAAGTACCAGTAAAGATGACCTATGAATACTAGCTACATATGATCAAAAAGGAGGAACATAAACACAGTAGTTTACATAGCAGCCCAGTGCTGTTTGTGAGATGAACTCATCTGCTCCTAAAGCACACCAAATGTTGACAGTGAACCTCAAGCCCATTAACGCACATTAAGAATCCTATCCATGTTTAATATACAAAGAACAATGAAGTCATGTCACAGACATCACCCACCCATAGGACAGGACAGCAGCTAGCAGTCTTCCTCTGCATTTCACCTTCTGCATATAAGAACGTGACCATGGTGAAAGGTTAGGGAACTCAGTAAGGCTAGCTAGATGGCAGACCATGTGGGGCTTGCAAACGAGACCATTGCTTATTTCTTATTTTATTTGCAAAGACTTGCATCTAGGATGGAAAAACAACATAGGCTGGGGGGCAACTGTCTAGAAAGGAGCTCTGCAGAAAAAGATCTGGTGACCCTTGAACAAGTGCCCTTGCAGCAAAGGCCAGCTACATCTCAGGCCGTATCAGCAAGAATGCAGCCAGCAGGTCCAGGGAAGATATCCTTCCCCTCTATTTGGCAGCGGTGAGGCTGCATGTGGAGTACCTGACCAATCTACAGCTCTCCAACACGAGAAAGACATAGACGTACCAGAGTGAGTCCAGTGAGGGCCACAAAGCTGGCTTGCGGCAAGAGCACACGATATACGGGGAGCAGCTGAGAGAGCTGGGCTTGCCTGGCCTGAAATAAAGAAGGTTCTGGGGAGCCCAGATTGCTGTCTGCAACCACTTAATTAAAGGAAATAGAGAAGACAGAGCCAGATTCTTCTCAGAGGTGCACAACAATAGGACGAGAAAAAATGGACACCACCTGGAACATGAGGTATTCAACTAGATTTAAGGAATTTTTTTTTTTTAAACCTTGAGGGTGATAGTATACTGGGACAGGGGCCCAGAGAGGCTGTGGGATCACTGTCCTTGGAGGTGTTTAAAACTCAGTTGGATACAGCTTTGAGCACCCTGATCTGATTAGACCTGCTTTGAGCAGGAGGCTGGACTAGAGGCCTCCAGAGGTCCCTTCAAACCTAAACTAGTCTATGATTTTATGACTTGTGGCCTGAGCAACATTAAACCAAGTAAACATTGCTGAAAGATTGCTTTAGGGTAGAACTTAGCCTGAAGAACACAGTCTTCTAACAGAACCCAATTCAAAACTCAAAATTGAAAAGTTGGGTTTTGCTGTCCAAAGCCTTCACTGAACTGTGCAATTAGCATGCTATGGATGTGACTTCCTATGTGAGATTATGCCTGTTAAAAATGGCATAACTTAAAAGGTCTCACGTTGCTGTTGTATGCAAGTATGGAAATGGCAAGCAGGGAATACAGTTGCTGGAAGGGTTCATCCATAGCTAGCTAAACAAGAAATACCTGCCGCATATTAGACCAGTATGCTTTATTGCAAAGGTTCAGTACGTACTGTATGCAGGGGAGAGCTTTGGAAGGAAGCCAGCTCCTTCTGAAAGATCATGGCTGTTTTTAGAAAGAAGTTTTAGTCTCTGTACATGTCCAGTGTATACATATATCTTCCGTTTTTAAATCAGAAGGTCAGTTTAAGACTGATGATCCCGCTGGAGTGAACTAAAGAATGGAGAACGACAGGGAGAAGTGCAGGGAGTGGACTACTCCCTCCATATTCAGGAACCTCTGAGATACTGAATCTGAAATACTTTTGATCAGATTGTTTCAATCTTCCAAGCAATGCTGCTTTCTGAGATTAAGTTCTATTTCCTGATGGCTATATCCTTCCAGACACCTTAACCAGCTCCTAATCTCCAAAGGCTTGGTATGCTTTTCATTCCTCTGCCATACATCCATTTGTATCCATATGGGAAAGACTCCGGATCATTTAAAGCATACAGCCCAGAGTCTACATTCTGGCCCTCCCATGTGATTGCTGTTTCAGCTGACCTAGCAGTGAACCAGTTCAAAATCTTGGCACCTCATTTCATCCATGTAGGTGTGAAATGCAGGCAGCTCTGAGCAGCAGCAGCTCCTAACCCCAATGCATTCAGGGGGAGTCAGTCTCAGAAGCTGACCTTAATACACAGAATATTCACCTAAGCCCCTTAGCCACCTTGCCCAAAGTGCCACATTTGCATTTTTCCAGAGCTCTGCTGGTTCTTTTTATGTTGCCTGTCTCTAGCTCTATACCTATTGACAGTTATCTTCTCTTTGTCTACCTATTCAAACCAGAATGCAAAGCAGAACGCAAACAAATGCAGAAAAGTGCTTCCAAAGCTTTCTCCCCACAAACAGTCACATAAGGTCTCTGATGATGAACGACAGCCTGTTGTTTGATCTAGCTACAATGGTATGTTAATCCGCGGAGGGTGACCAGGGAAACTGGGAGCTTGCTACCCTCATAAAATTCCTCAGGTGCCTAGTGGAAGCAAAAACCTCTCTGGTTATCACATACAACCAATTACCTCTTTTTAACTCTTTCAAAAGTAGACAACTAATGTAGCACATGTAACGATAATATCAGACAGATAGAAAGAATGCTTTCTATGGACACGTGGTCAAAACCTTTTTCGACTTTGAAATATTCGCAGGATATAATAGCCATAGGAGAAATCTCTTCTGTTTTTTGATGGAGCCCAGTTAGCTAATAGGGTTTACTCAAGACCTGCTCTAGTCAATGAGGCACCGAATTATTGTTAGTATGAGATGATTGCCAGCAGCATTTTACTTCACAATGAGCTAGACAGAGAGCATGTAAATTAGCATGTCTGAATAGAAGAAACGGCTCCCAAATAAAAATAGAGCACATTTATGCATCGCAATAACAAAAGTATTCTATACTTATTTGCAAACTTTGTACAGACATGGCTTCTACTGCCCCTGAATTGCAAAAAAAAAAA